TTGGGATGATTTTTCAAAAGAATTGTGCTTTTAATAAGAAAATTGAAAGTACAACGCTATAATTGGTAAAAATTTTGAAGTAAAAAGTTTTGGGATTTTTGTAAAAAATGTCTTGATAAATGAATAATTGAAAGTAAAAATGTTGTAATAGTAAAAAAAAACTAAAAAACTTAATGCTTTATTTGGGATGATTTTTCAAAAGAATTGTGCTATTAATAAGAAAATTGAAAGTACAACGCTATAATTGATAAAACTGTTGTAATAGGAAAAAAAAAACTAAAAAAATGTAAAAACTTATATAAAAAATGTCTTTGCTAAAAGAATGTTTGAAAGTAAAATTGTTGTAATAGGAAAAAAAACTAAAAAAATGCATGCAATTCTTTAATTGGGATGAATTTTTCAAACGAAATGTGCTTTTAATAAGAAACTTGAATATACAATGCTATAATTGGTAATTTTTCAGAGTAAAATGCCTAGATAAGTAAAAAATGTAAAGATTTATATAAAAAAATCTCTTAATAAAAAAATATTTGCAAGTAAAAATGATATTATAATAATAATAATAATAACAAAAACAAAATCCAATGCTTTAATTGGGATGATTTTTCACACAAAATGTGCTTTTAATTACAAAACTAAATGTACAATGCTTTACTTGGTAAAGATTTCAAAGTAAAATACCTAATGAAGTTAAAAATGTGAACATTTTTGTAAAAAAATTATTGATAAAAGAATATTTGATAGTAGAAATGTTGTAATAATAAATGCAAAGATTTTTGTAAAAAACGCCTAGATAAGTAAAAACTGTAAAGATTTATAGAAAAAATGTCTTGATAAAAGAATATTTGAAAGTAAAAATGTTGTAATAGAAAAAAAAAACTAAAAAAATGCAATACTTTAATTGGTAAAGTTTTTAAAGTAAAATTCCTAGATAAGTAAAAAATATAAGATTTTTGTAAAAAATGTCTAGATAAAAGAATATTTGAAATAAAAAATGTTGTAATAATAAAAAAATAATTGGTAAATTTTTCAATGTAAAATGCCTACACAAGTAAAAAAATATAAAGACTTTTGCAAACAATGTCTTGATAAACGAATATTTGAAAGTAAAAATGTTGTAATAGTAAACAAAAAAACTAAAAAAATGCCTAGATAAGTGAAAAATGTATGATTTTCGTAAAAAATGTCTTGACAAAAGAATTTGTGCTTTTCATCAAAAAAAAAAAAAAAAAAAAAAAAAAACTGTACAAAGCT